TAGAAGGCACTCCCAAGACTCTCAGCCTTCAAGTATGAGCCATTTTTCTATACTGTTTTTGTTTGTTTGTTTGTTTGTTTGTTTGTTTGTTTGTTTGTTTGTTTGTTTGTTTTAAGAAAACTCCTTTAGAGTTTATATTGACCTTTATTTGGGAGATTATATTGAAATGAAACCTCAATGGAGTCCCACATCATAACAGAAATGTTTAAGAACAACACTCTCATAGATATCTATTTTTGGTAATACCCAGAAAAATGCTTTGTTGGCTGCAAGAGCTGTTTGTTGTTGCAATGCCACAAATGGCCAGAGGGGTCAAATTTTCCTATAGCATAAATGACAGAATTGTAACCAGTTAATAGTACTTAATGCTTTTTTGCACATATGCATCATACTTCTACAAATTTAAAGAGATCTTGTATCTACATAAGGCTATAGAAAAACAGATGCTTACATAAATCAAAGAGCTGGCCAATCCCTTTTTTTCAGTGTAGCTTGATCTTTATTCTCAAATGTTTGACTTTATTGTTGACATTTAAACTCAGTTTTTGCCTTGTTGACTTTGTTTCTCAAATGCAAAATTGGGTTTTTATACTAAATCAAATTTCAGGACTTTGTAAATTAAGTTTTTACACATGTTTTCCCAAATTTGGCATCAAATTCCTAATAAGCACATACGTCATAAAAAAAATATTTGCCTCAGTATTTGGTATGTTGTGTTTGTTCATTTTCAATTAAATTTAGGGTTTCAAATTGGTTGAAAGGTATTGCATTTTGTTTTATTTATTTTTTTACACAGTGTCCCAGTTTTTGTTTTTTTGTTTTTTTTGTTTTTTGAAGGGTGTTGTAGTTTTTTTTACTGAAATGATTTCAGGCACTCTTTCAGCTGTGTAAGATATTATTAAATATAATTTCAAGGAAAGAAAAAAAATAGACCAGACCCTCCAGTGGCAAATTGACTTCCAAATTTCTTCTCTTTCCACTCCTTTTGATCCATCAAAGTTAAAGAAAAATGTTGAAGGTGAGTGAAGCTACTGTGGATAGAAATTCAGAAATAATTATTCTACAAGGCACAGAACCACGACCAATAATACAAAGGTTGTTTTGGAGGGAAGAAAATACTACAAAAAGCAGTTTGGTATTGTCACAATGCAACCACATAAGATGGAAGAGGGCAGTATATGTGCCATGTGTAACCTTTAAAATCCTCATTAGTCAAGTTTTACATATGTACACTGCTCAATTAAGCTTTCCCACACAGAGAGCGTTAATTTGTTTTCCAACAGCTGCATCATCTCAATGGGTGATTTGAGAGATTTTTTTTATTACTTTAGCTGTTTTTCTCATTTTTACATTTTAGTTCAAATGTGGACCCACTTGCAGACTCAAACACAAAGCAGAATAAAAGCAAGCTTTATTATCAAGTCTACCTCTGAAACTGAAACACAGAGACCTACTCAAGGGAAGCAAGAAAGTAAAACAGACACTCCAACAAAGGATGGGGCAGGGCTATTTATACACAGAAAACAGTCTGGGGATGAGAAACAGAAGAGAACTGAGATGTAGGCAAATGCAATCAGGACAATAAAGAGACAGGAAGTAAAACTCTAATCAATGGAGGAAGCCACCTATCAGAATAAAACAGTAAATTAACAAACAATTAAAAGAAGACAACACCAACGCATGAATAACCTAACACAATAAAATGAGACGGATTGGGAAGAAACAGAGAAACACTAAGGGAACTACACTCGTGAAAAATAATCAGCTCGGCTGAGAAACTAAAGTTGACCGAGGATTCACAACCCAAAACTAAGACTGTAAATCATTTTAACAGGCATTCAAACTCCATAAACACAAAGATACCCAAGTGAAACTTTAAGATACTAGAATAGTAATAGTAAAAAAAAAATAATGAAAAAGCAGGAATCCATTTCTCCACACAGACCAGAGTTCACATAATACAGAAAAACTAAGTGTCAGCGTACCAGGATAACAATGAATACATGAACCCAGACACAGGATCACAAAACAGAAAACAAAGACTCAGCCACATCACAAGCAATCAAACTTACGTTTAGAATAGTAAAGGAACAAAACCTCAAATGTGTTCATTAAGATCCTAAATTCAAAAAACTTGATGAGGACGGTCCTCAGTCCTGGTCCTTGAGTTTCTCTGAAAACTTTAGATTTTTTTTTTTTTATATCTTTCAGCTTTATGTTTTGATTTCTATATTATATCTATACAGACCCAGTTCTGGTTCTGTTGGTGTCTTACTTTATGATTCCTACTCATAATATTTATTGTTTTCAATCCAGCGCTTTGTTTCTTGTATATTTATTTATTTATTTTTGCTTTTCAGTGTTTTCCCTGTCTCTCATCCATCTGTCTCTAATTTCTGATCGTGCCTGTACTGCCCTCGCCATCATGTCTTACATGAGACTCTTAGTATTTGTCTTTTATTTCCTGTTTTACTTTGAAGATTGTTTTTTTTTTTATTCCTTACATCAGTTTACTTACTCTTTTGTCGTTATACCACCTGTCATCACAGGTTTCCTCGTCAGATTGTGCTTCTGGATTATTCGTTGCTTAATTCTTTGTGTTTAGACTTATTTTTGTACTTATGTTTTTGACCCGAAATTAAATCCTCGTTATACTGCCCCCAGCTTTGTGCTTATGGTCCCACATCTTTACATTTCACATATTTTGGCCCATGGGTTCAACAAGTTAAGTAGAAAAAATAAAAAAAACTAACAATTACAGTTTCCTTTTTTTCTTTTTGCTATTTGAAAGCATTTTTGTAGTTTTATCTTATTGCTGTGATGGGTAAAGATCCAGTGAGTTCTGTGAATTTTTTTAAAGGATTCCGCTTCCCCTTGTGAGCAAGGCTCTTCTACCTTTATCTCCACTAAAGCTAAGCATAATATTTCCCTGTTGCCTCCACCTCCTAGCCATTACAAGGCTGTGAAGAGGATTTTCCAAGGTTAAGATGTAGATTAGGGATGTTTTCAAAATAGATTTCAACCCAGTGAAGATTTTCTTTCTCTTTCCACAGGATTAGTGTATATGAGTTGTAGTCTATTCTTCCCACAAACAAGCAGCTTACTGTATACATATTCCCCACCCAACCCCAGGAGGCTTTGGAGCTCTTCAGACCAGACTTCATCAGCCGATCTCAGGGTCGACTGAGGAGGTTGGAGCAGAGGGCTAGAATAAGGAAATCACTGCAGGACTCCAATCCAGACCTGGTGCAGGGCCTTAGGGAAAATCGTGTCAAGCAAAAGAGGAACTGCACCACACCAGATCCACTTAGTGGTAAGCACAGCTGAATAACTCAGGTCGAAACCTGGAGCAGAAGTAAGCCACTTAGTAGAATATAATTTCACATACTTATTGGTCCACCAATCTGAATGATTTGATTCTGCTGTAAAATGACAGCAGCACATCAGGAGCTCTAAGTCACAGCGAAAGATCCTGGAGGTTGTGGAAGTAAAAGTAAGGCAGGAGCTCTTGCAACAACAGCAGGCAATCCACAGTGTAGCTACTGCAGATCAGATAGGATTCAGTCCACAGCAGGCCCTCATCTCCTACATTGATCTTTTACCATGTATCCCATCTCTTCTGTCACTTCTACAGAGACAGAAACATTCATCAAACCCATGAAGCACTACGATGAAAGCTCCTCCAGTCAGTGTAGTTTTCTGGAGACACTGCAGCCTCCAACACACAGAGTGAGAAATAATTAAATAAGAAGCTCGTAGCCATACCATATTGAATTTTTCTGGCATTTTGAGGAACTGTGAATTGTTTCTCCAATAATTCTTTTTAACCTATCTAAACTGGGGTGGACTGAAACAAAGGGGAGGACACTACATTTTATTCCCTTTAAAGTGTAGTGGCATTTATCCAACTTTGCTCTCTGCTGGACATTATCTGGTACTGCAGATCCATTAAAGCACTGTTTTCTGCATGCAGGAAGTAAAAAAAGTTTCAAAAAATAGACCATAATAATCCTTTAGTTTTGTTTTGTGCTATTTCAAATTAAAAAAAAAAATTAGTCAAAAAAGCATTCATACGCAGTGCCAAGTATAATTTTAAATACATATAATGATGTGTATTTCTTTAATTGTGGTTGGGTTATTAAAGATTCATAAAGGTGTTCACTGTGCAAGAAATTGGCTTCTATATACATTTTTCTGAGCATTAATCTCCAGTTTGTGCTTTTGAAAAATGTGGGATTTTATTACATTGGTGGAATATGAGCTCTCCACAGGTCACATAATATCAAATGTTCATAAATGCATCCTAATTTTAAGCATCCCATAATAATCATTTCCTGGCTTTTTTTGCTGGATAACAGCCTGTTTTTTTCTGAAGGTAGGAGGGATGTGTTTTCAGATCATCTCTCGGCTCTGAATTCTGTTTTGGAAGGTCATGGCGGGGTCATGAAATTAGGAACCATGAATAGCTCACAGTCATCTCTGACTGAAGTTTGGATTCTAATTATAAACAGAGTTAGTAGGACTAGATATGCCCGTGCTTGGCATGTGTGTGGGTTTGATATCTGTCCATGTATGTGTGTGTGTGTGTGTGTGTGTGTCTGTCTGTGTGTGTGTGTGTGTGTAACTGTCTGAAACAGAGAGATCACACACAGCCCTCAGTGTTCATTTACATATGCGAGATTCATTTACATTTTAATTCTTATTTGTTATTCCTGTGTGTTTGTGTGTGTGTGTGCGTCATATTATTGCCTGTGTGTGTGTCTGTGTGTGTGTGGGTGTGTGTGTGGGTGTCCTAGATAACCTTTTCAAGCCTAGAGAGAGGTCTATATCGAGTAGAGAGATGCAGCTGAGGTCCAGACGGTGAGTTCTCAGATCAAACCCGAGTCAGACGTTGTCACTCTTCTTCTTGTTGCACTTTGCTTTTTTTTAAATTCAGGACAATCCATCACCCTTGTTTGTCATATCTGGATGCATCCACGCAATGCACATTCACACATATGCATACTGTATGGATACGATAGATCTTTGATGCCCAAATGTCTTGGCAGGAGATATGAGCTTTCCTCTGTATACCTTATCTATTTTTTTTTTCTTCCCTTATCTGGAAAGGCACACCTGATCAGATGATGGCTGCCCATTGTAATTTTTTTTCAAAAGCAACATTATCTGGCTTGGAGGATCTCTTGACAAATTGGCTGTAGTTGCGGGAATGAAAAAGGAGTCTGAGCGAGACCTGTTTATCAGTGGATCCAGGTTTTTCACTGGCTGTGGTCTCACTAGATAAAACCTCATCTCTAGTATGCCAGTCTGCTGTCATGGCTCAGCCACCCTCAAACTTCTGATACTATATTCCCCTGCTGCGTATGAATATGCCTTTTTCTGTCTGTAGGATTTACAACATGCTGCCAGAGGTGACAAAGAGAAAGGAGGAGGAAAAAAGAAGGGCTGTATCTCAAGCCAACAGACTGCGGGCCGAAGTCTTTAAAAAGGTAGTGCTTGGGTGATTTTGGTATAAAAATCAGTCCTGAACACTGATTATTGTGCATGAAAACTGTCAACATTAAAAATGCTCCTGAAGTACAAAAGAAAACACAAGAAGGGTTGATCCAAAGGATGGCATGGTGGGGCACAGATTAGTATAGCGTCAACTCACAGCAAGAAGGTTTTGGATTGTGACCTGCTAGTCTAAGTTTTTGTACTGGTTTTGGATAGCCTCACTTTCCCCCACAGTTGAGTGACATTTGCGTGAAATTAATTGATGTTTCTAATTTGGCTGCGGTTGTGAGGAACTCTCTGTGTTAGCCTACGGATGGACTGGCAACTAGTCCAGCATGTACCCTGCCTCTAGCTCAACTCCACCTGGGATAGGCTCCAGCCCCACTCTCTAGTTTGTTAGTTGTACCCATAGAACCCCAAAACTGCTCATTTTTAAATACATTTTTTGTGCTGTTTAACATTACAGATGCAACAATGTATTGAACCGAATGCAAAGATAAATGGAAGGCAACCGAAAACTGAGTTTGTACAGCTCTAACAAGCTTAAAAATTCAGTTTTTTGGTATGATCACCTTTATTCTTCAACACAGCCTTCACTCTTTTAGGTAAGCTTTCTTTAAATCGCTCTAAGTAGTCTTCAGGAATAGTTCTCCAGGTCTCTTGCTCTTTCTTGGATGTTGGCTGCCTTTTGTTCTATTCTCTGTCAAGATGATCTTACATTGCTTCAACAATGAAGCTCAGTCGCTTGGAGGCCAATCCATGACTGTGGACTTGTGTGTTTTTCTATCCAGCTAAGCTTTTATTGTACTGGCAGTACCATTCAGATGCTTTCTGGATGGTATTGCATGGTGGATCAAAATCTAAAAGTACTGAAATGCATAGCGTACACTCTGTTTTACAGATGGAGACACTCACTGTTGTATCTCTCTCCTGACTCCCTCCATACATATTAACAATTTGAGACAAAGTGTAAAAATTTGGTTCATCACTCCATAAGACCTGTTGCCACTGATTTTCAATCCCATTTAATTGACATACATTAGTCTTGTCTCCCTGTTTTCCCTTTCTTTCTCACTAAGACCATTTGTAATCAGACTTTGTTGAAAAGTAGATTGTTGAGACGGTTGAAGGTGCAGGTCCGCCTCTCAGGTCCTGTAAATGTTTTTCACCAAATTTCTTTAGGTCATGATTTTCAGATACTACTGTAGTTTTTCAGAACTGCCACTTTCTCTTTTGTCCTCCAGTTGTCCAGTTTTCTCAGTTTTTAAGGACACACTGCACATCATGCTGAGATATAACACATTTTCAGACAGTATCTCATTAGGATTCACCTTGTTGGTCCAAAAATACATGTCAAATTGTGTTATCTTTGGCATTTTTCAATGAAAGAAACAAGGTATGACTTTTATGGCAGGTGTCAAGTAATAAAGTGCCTAAAGATATGATTTAAAATTGGTTCTTTGCAAAAATGTATACACAACCCTGGTTCATCCTTTGACTTCGGTGCCGTTTTGAATGATTCTTAGGTAAGTGTTAAGCTGAAAATGAGTTAAAAAAAAAAAAAGGCAGTCACCTTCCGCAGAAAAGCTTTTAAAGTCTTTCAGAGATCGTGGAGGACTGTTGCTCAAGACTCAAGTCTGGCTTCTTTAAAGCAAAATATAAATAAATGAGGGGTGGCTCAAGACTTTTGCACAGTACTGTATACTCAAGTAATATTTCAGTATTTTCAGTTGTATTTGACTGGATTAATTAATGGAAGCATAAGCACACACAGCCAAAAAATACAAGAGGCCAGTCATTCTTCAGCATGCTAACATGTTTTAGCATATTTCTCAGAAAAGCTAAAAGCAAGCCATTTCACAGAAAAACCAACTTAAACAAAATATAATATATATGTTCAGATGTCTTTAACCATCTGCAATTATATCTTGATTAATGAATATAGTGTCCGCATCTAAAAATGAAGCGTGGTTTGATCCTTGTCCACCAGAGGTCACTGCTCAACTGCTGATGTTTCTGTCATTTCTCACTGTGGAGTATCGCCAGTGTATGAATTCAACATTAAGGTCTATCTAAACACAAATCCTCATATTTGCTTGAAATCTGTTATTTGCAATGTGTTCAAAAATCAGAAAGCATTAAAGAACCTTCTTATCAGTCATGCCAGAACAAAATCATTACTGCATTACAGCTAAGCCTGTTTCATCCTTTACACAACCATGTCGTTTTGGCTTTCACTGCTACAGACAAATCTAGCACTACGAAAGCTTATATCCATTAGGCAATGCTGACATGATGCAGCACAGCTGAAGGATGTGGAAGCATCCACATCCTCCAACTGTTAGGGGCCTGTGGCAAATGAATGATATATTTAGGACATGCGGTGTCAGACAGATCCATTTGGCTTCCCTTATGATCGAGCCTTCAGTCTCTAACATAACCAGAACAATGAATTCACTGTCAGTCAGGTGAGATGTGAAAAATGTGAAGAGATGTGAAGAGATGTCTCCAATCTCTTACAGATAATTACACAATTATGACAGTCGGTGTGTGTGTATGTGTGTGCGCACAAAAGACAGACAGAGACAGAGAGAGAGGGTGAAACGGTGTGTGCACGTGTTTTTCCATGATCTTATTCAATATGAGCTCAAATTGAAAGGCTTATTTCTTCTTTGCCACTGTGTAGGCATGCTGGGAACCGTTTTGCCTTAGGCCTCCCTTTCATTTTTAAGAAAACTGTGAATCTACAGTAAATCACAGTCGTGTGGTTTACTGACACAGCGAGCAACTGTAGAAGAAAGTGTGATGTCAAATCGCTCTGTAAGAGAATATTTTATTTCCTGGTGAAATGGAGCAGTTATGATGCCAGTGTGACCTTCCCACCTCTCAAATGAAGCCATTAGCTGGGCCCAACCACAGAGACTGAGAGAAAAAGAGTGTGTTCCTCCCTAACAAACACTGTGTACTTTAGAGGTTTCATTTCATCAGAAATTCTCCAAAACACACACACACACACACACATATACATACACACACAGGGGGGAGCCCAGCTAAGACTCACAGCAGGGTCTGATAGCACAGTGTAGAGGGTGGGTGGTTGTGAATGCTGACTGAAATTTCATTTCAGCTGTTGTGTAGTACTGTAAGAGAAGTATGATTGCATAGCAGGGGTGTATGGTCAGGAAGCAAGCTATAATTATTCCCCCTACCTGAGCTTAGCCTTCTCAGGGGTGAAGCTGATGGAAGTGAAAGCCAATTTGGCAGCCTGAGTCTCACCTGAGTGACGCTGAGCTGTTCTTAAAAGAGAAGGGAGGTCTAAAAGTAGACAGATATGTTTTTGATCTGTTTCTCAGGAGCTAGCGTAGCATTGTTGTTTTTCTTGTCTTGCAGAAAATTCTGGATCAGGTCCTGCAAAGATAAATCGGACACCGGCGAATGGGGATACTTCGCTGACCACTCACTGCATCTTCAGGCTTAACACTTTGCAATAATAATTACTGTATAACGCCTTTAATTTCTTACTTAAGTCATGCTATGTCATTTGATGTTGTATTTTGCATCCTGTAACCAGAAAAAAACGATATTGCAGATATTGTCACCAGGCTTTTATTAGTTGAGGATAATGTATTTTGGCTATTATCTGTTACTGATATGATTCAATCTGACACTAAACAGAGATGCTGAAATTATTATTAAATAGGCAATTTTGTAAAAGTAGTCTGCAGGTGGAAATTGCATGAAGTGAAATCTGCGTGAGATCAATTGTGTGCAAACAATAACAAAACCCACACACCCCACCTACCACCGACAATTGCTCATTACCGACAAATGTGATGAGTTTGTCAGTTGTCAGGTCTTTTTTGCTGGTCAAATAAACATGCAGCAGTCAAACAAAGCAGACATAATCATCTAAATTGAGCAGTTTCTTTCCTGATGCTTTTCTTCATTGGATATATCTTTTTCCACAAATGTCGCTCAAGGGCTGCAAAAAACTGAATGTATCCCTCGGACATTCTGCGTTAAAGTTATTTTACAGGAAGTCAAGCCTTGGTGCTTTAACCAGAAAACCTTGGCTGTCATTGTTACTGTACAGTAGGTGTTCATAAAGCAGGAGAGGGAGGCTACGTTTCGTCATTGACTTCACATGTGCCTGGAGGCCTGTGGAACCTCCCATCCGGAACAGTGGAATTTCAAGCTAATCGAACTCAGGAGACTTGCAGCACCCGTGAAAGGGGCCTTTGTCACACAGCTCCAAACCAAAGATGACATTGTAATAAGAGAGGAGACTCCTGAGCACAGCCTGGGACCGCAGACCACATATACCTTGTAAAGGTGACTGACAACTCTGTGGCATTTAAACAGTGCCTGCTGGGATGAGGAGAGAAGACGGGAAGGATATGTGCTGCAGCAAAAACACAGTATATTCAAAGAGTAAATTCTTTGGTGAGTCAGTTGCTTTGGAGTAAATGCAAAATGCTACGTTAAATGTTTAATAAAGGTTAAATTTGCTTACTGCTGTATTTCATTCTCCACTAGGATTAAAGTGATTAATTAAGGCCCTTAGGTGCAGTAAACAGCATCAATAACTACTGACTTTACTCCTGCCTGTGTTGTCAGGTCAGCAAAGCCATTTTGCAAAAGTAATGCGCACGGGAGAAATGTCCTCCTGCCATGTAGACTGGTTCCAGTTGATGAACACATACTGACAGGCAGTCGTATAAGAGGAGACGAGTGCTTGTCAGTCAGCCCGTCTCTCTCTTAGGCATCATGCGTCTGTATGTCACAGCGTTATCTCCGCAGAATGTGTACTATGTGCTCTGAGGCCCCTCAGCTGGCTTCCCAATGGCTTTGACTGACTCAACAGCCCTGAGGGGTAAGACTGATATGGCAGGCTTAGAAAGAAGTGAGCTTACAGTGCTAAATGTGTATGTCCATGCAAAGCCACTCATTACACGCGTTTAGTCATTAGGCATATCCCTAGCAGGCATACTATTTGAACATCTAGCCTCAATGACATCATGTGTTTTTATATTTAGGTGTATTAAGGCGTTAAAGCCATCAAAGAATCTCAGACTGAACAATAGGTAGTCATTTAAAAAGACAAAACTAGACCTAACGCAGACATAACTCCAGTCAGCTCAGGCAAAGCGATGAAATTCTTCCTCTTTCTCCCTTGCTCTGTTTTTCTTTTTCTTTTTTCAGTTTGTAACCTCAGTGGAAATGTGAAGTGAAATGACGCCTGCGCAGAGATACATCTGTGACTTTTTTGCCTGCAGCACACTCACTAAAAAAGATTAGGCTAAACCACACCAGGTAGCCTGTGCAGAACACAGATGGGGCCTGATTTATGGCGGTTTGTGTGCCTGGGCACAGAGACGGAGTGAAACAGGAAGAGGAGATGAAATACGAGGTGACTCATATTTTTTAATATAGATTGTTCTGAGAAATTGAATCATGCTAGTTCAGTCAAGGTCTTACATTTATTCCATCAGTCATTACAATTATAAGTTGTGCAGATAGCTAGGTCTATGGTTTAATGCCACATTATTTCAAATCTTACTTCAAAGTTTGCCACGCAAAAAAAAAAAAAAGACAAAGAAAACTTATAGCACAACAGGTTTAAAAGGCTTAGTGTTTTAAAAATGTCAGCTCAGAAACCACATGAGTCTACATTCAAAGATTTTCTTCTACACAACTCATCACAGAATTTCTCACGATCATTTCCAACAAATTACATCCCAAGCGATGCTGTGGTAAAACTCGCTAACCCCCCTTGGGCTCTGCCCTTTTCAGAGCTGAGTTCTGTATCTCACTTGTGTGTATCTCAGCCGCTCTATCATCACATGCTTGAGAAAGTCAGAAAAAAGCCAGTCATCCTAATTCACCCTGGACCCGCTAGATGAAAGAAGACATTTGTCTGTGTTTCAAGGATGTGTAGGAGGATTAAGACTAAATAAGCAAGATCAATATTTGTTGTGTTCATGGAATTAATTGGTTTAAATCTGTCTGCAATTATTTGTCGCTGACATATAAAGAAATGTTTAAATGTGCAGATTACTTCCATGCAGAAGTGGTTGGAGAAAAGCCACATTTGTGCATCCTGGTAACATGCTCTGAGAAATATACAGAAAATCAAACACACTTATCTGGTTTTTATGTTTCCTGTTAAGTTGTGAGAAGCCAGCAAAAGAGAGCTTGAAGATTAATAAGAGGAAGATATGCACAGTAGGTTACAATATATTCTCTGCAAAATCTTTTCTTTACAGCCTACGCACATTCCTTCTCAGAAGCAGACTGTTCAGGACAAGGCTGTCTGATTTCTTTAGACTTGTAACTCAATTCATTAATTTCACAATTTTATGTAAATTCACATTTTTTTTAATTTATTATAAACTTTCATATTTTTCTCCTTATTCGTTTGCTGCTCTAGTTATGTTTTTTCCTGAATAACATGTTTTGTCATTGTAAGGCTGGCCATATGTAAATATGTTTTTTTTTTGTTTAAATTCACCTACTCTTTGTTGACAACAAGCTAATTAACTATCACAGACACATATAGGGCAAAAAAAAAAGAAGAAAGAAAAAATATAACTAACCAGCATCCCCCCTGCAGAGTTCGGGGGAAAAATCTATGCATTTATTGATTTACATTATCCACTCGAATGTTCTCTGAACAGAAAGCGCAAAAACGTATATGATACTGATATTAGTAAATATATTTGCTTATACAGACCAATCCCAGTCCACCAGTAAAATTAACATTGTGTGAGAGAATAGTGCAAACTGCATTAATAATTAATATGTACACTATAAATCTAAGAAAGACAGCTGCATGAAGGTATACTACAGA